ATGTGACATGCCAGATGAATGGCAAGGGGCAGGTGATCCCTTGGGAGGCTCCCCGTTGACAGAGGCAGGAAGCAGAGGGTGGTGCTCTTGTTTAACACCTGTGGGATCCTCCAGGTAGCTCCTGTTAGGGAAGGGACGAGCCTGGGGTGCTGGGCGCTGCTGGGCCTTAGCTTGCACTCCTGTCACGAGCCTCTCAGCTGTTTGGCCTCCACAAGGGAGGCTCATGGACAGGGCAGGGGCTGAACCAGGCTCTAGCACTGCACTTTCTTACCTCCTGGAGGCCTCGTCATCCTCTGTGCCTTGGGCCCCTGTCACACAGGAGGGCTAGAGCAGCACTTTCCAGAGTAGTGCCCTGCACTTAATGCCCAGGAGCAAAGGAAGGAAGTGGGGAGGGGGGACACAGTTCCCTCCTAAGTCTTAGGGACTCTGGTGACCTGCCCTAGGTCTAGCACAGGCCTCCCGCTAGGAGCATTTGTGGGCAGGAAGCCACGTGCCCTGGGGGCTGGGAAGAGGTCAGGGTGGTGGGTGGCGGAGCACAGTGAGCACTCAAACTATAGCCCAGAGTCCTCCCTGGAGCAAGGCACCCACACAAGACCCCAGAAGATGGGGTACAGGAAAGAAGTCTGTTGCGGCCCCCGAGGCAAGAGGGAAAAGGCCCGTGGGCTGAGAGGAGGGTGCCCAGGGCATGGGAAGCTCTGGGATGCCTGTGGCACTGGACAGAGAGCACATGGCTGCCTCCCCGTCCCAGGGCCGTCTGTGTACATTGCCCACCGCGGTTCCCAACCAAACGCAGCGCCTCCTCCCTGAGCTTCATCTGGGGACCCCAGTCTATCCAGACAGAATGCCCCTGGAGCCACCGTGCCGGCAGCTGCAGCCATCAGCCCAGTCAGCAGGCTCTTCTTTGCCTAAATTGAACTCTTGGCACTGGTCTTGACTGCACCCCAGGAGTACAGAGAAGCCACTTCAGTGTCTGTCGGTGTCTGGCTGGACCTGCAGGTGCAGCCCCTCTGCCGTTGGCTGGGTCTGATCTGCTCCTTCACCCAGGGCCTTGGTCCTGCTGCAGCCCCCACCTGCCCACTTGTCCTGCCTGCTTGGTGGGGAGACTGCTGATGGACATGAGGTCAGCCCCGCCACCTGCTGGCAGGCCCATTGCCCAGGCTTTCCCTGCGGGTGCTCTCTGTCGTCGCCAGGGAGAGCCGCTTCATCTGGCCTTCTGTGTGCTAGAAGAGTCACTCCTCTGCACCCCTGAAGGAGCCCAGGTGCCCCTCACAGGGATAAGACTACACCATTCATCACCCTTTTTTTCTCATTTATAATTGCAAAACTTAAACAGAACAAGATGGCCTGCGAGTGGCTGACCAGTCCACTGAGGGGCTCATGGATTTCAGACCATGTGCAGAGAGCCATCTGCGGCAGAGCCCAGCTCTGAGGGAGCAGAGCCAGTGGCCTGGCCTGCGCCTGGCGAGCACTGAGTCTCTGCCACAGGCAGGTTCGCAGGTGGGACTCTGGTCCAGCCAGCCTCCCACTGAGCCAGCACCCTGTGGGCTCGTGGGGCTGTGTGCAGGCCCAGGTGGTACTCGGTGCCACCGCAGCAATGCCACACCAGGGTCAATGGCTTTCCAAGTCCAGATGGAAGCTCAGTGCCACTTCATCCACAGGCTCCCCAGTTTCTCTGTTTACAGACTCCCCGTAAAAGATGCTGGACCTCACTCTGGGGTCCCAGGGGCATCGCACTCCAGCAGGCCCTCTCAGCAGTGCTCAGCCACCCCAGGGACTGCCCCAGGTCGGGAGGGGATGGGGAGAAGGCCTGATGTCTTGTTCCTCTGAGTGACCTGATGCTGCTCTGGTTGAAGTCACTTGGCCACAGTCTCTCCCTGCTGATCTTTGCAGTCAGCCCCAGAGCTCCCAGGAGTTCACATCCTGCAGCCAGCTCGCTCCAGGGTGCGCCTCTGCTGGGGGACAGCTGCTTCCTGAAGCCAAGGCAGGGACACTGAAGTGGGGTGTGGGCATGCCTGGCAGGCCCGCGTGGGTGCTGGGCAGCGTTGCCACCTCATGGAACACCCACCCTGAAGGGAGGAACTGGAAGTTTCTGTCCAATGCCTGGGTGAGAGTGCTGCGCTCCAGGCAGGTGGTGCCAGGACAGACTCCCTTGTCCTCACCACGTGGCAGTTACCTGGTCCCTTGGGTTAGGGTTAGGGTTAGAGGCCTCACCCACAACTCATCTCCTGAGACTTAAGTCAGTTTTAGCAGGGATTCCCACCCCCCCTTAAGGCCAGACATGACGGGTGTCCACACTTCCCCTCCCAGCAGGGAAGACCCTGGGCTCACAGGCTGGGGACTTCTCCATCAACCTCATTCCATGAACTCGGTGACTTAGAAGCACACGCACATATACTCACGTTTTGTAAGTGCATCTATTGTGGGATTGGGCCTTACTGGAGTAGCCGCATCAAAAGGTACATGCATCTTACACGTCTGTGACAAGTAGCAGCACATCTTCCTTGGAAGGGACCGATCTGTTCTCACTCCCACGAACTCTTTCTGTTCAGCGCCGACAGTCATCAAAACTCAATTCCAAAAGTCATTCTTTGTTTCAATTGGCGTTTCTTTAATTTTGAACAAAATGGAATCGTTTTTCGCAGGTTTGCGGCCCCTGTCTGTTCTGTCTTCCTGGGAAGCGCTTCAGTTCTCGTCTTCCTTATCGAGTTAGGTGGGCTCTTGTAAATCAAGGTATCAGTGGGCTTCGGCTGGAATAGCCTTCTAATATCTGCCCTTGTCTTTTGATTTTCTTTTGCCATAAGATGAGTCATTCCTGTGTTTTCCTTATTATGGTAAAATATTCCCAACATGAATCTTGCCGTTTGGCCAGTTTTAAGTGTATACTTCAGTGACATCAAGTATGTCCATGATGTCGTCTGCCATCACATGGTGACAGACCAGAGTCTCCCGAGGACTGGGCATGAGCTCCCTGTGCCCCACTCCTCTGGGCCCTGGAAGCCCTGTGTCTGGGACCCACTGACATCTTCTTGGTGTGTCTTCCTCGCTGTACTGACGGGGTCTTTTGAGAAGTGACTTTTTCATTTTGGTCAAGTCCAGTGCATCGGTGTCTTGTTGGCTGTTATGGCGTCACATTTAGGAAATCGTCCGCCCGGGGTGGGGCAGCCTTCCCCTTCTCTTGTAGGAGTCGTGACGTCTCAGCCCCTTGGTCTGTTTCTGAACTATCCCAAGTTGACTTCTGAGCGCAGGCTTCCTCTGGGGGGTCTCTGTTAAACCCCTCCTCAGGCCCTGGCTGATTTGGCTGGTCGCGGGCTCCCACCCTCGTCCCTACTGTTCAGAGGACCTTGTTCTCATGGCCTGGGCACAGCTCTTCCTGTCCCTACCTCCTCCGCTCTCTTCACTGTGCTTGTGGTGGTCAGCTCTGAGGGGTGACTCCAGGTCGCCCTTCAGCTCGGTGGCAGGTGCAGAGGCCACCCGAGAGCTCCTCTCACCTGACGCCCATTGGTCTTCTGCTTTTAAATTCAGACAAGTTGCAGATATTTTCCTCTATGGTTTCTGAATTGCGTGTTCAGAGGCAAAGAAGCCCCCACTCGTGCTGAGATCATTCAGCCTGAACCCCGACCGACAGTACTCACAGTCCTCTTAATAACAGCGGTGTGAGTGCGGCTCCGTTCTTCACATTTTAAGGATTTTTGTGTTTCCCATCTGCCTTCCCGGGAGCACAATCCGGCACAGGATTACTGAGTCATGTGGGCCCTTGTAAACCAAGGTGTCAGTGGGCTCTGTGTCCCTCCCACGGTTGACCTTTTCATTCCCACCTCATCTGCCTGGAAGATGAATGGATAAGCCCCTCCCACCAAACTTCTGATCATTCTTCAGAATGGAGCCAGGAAGTCATGCCTCTGGCCACCCAGGCAGGAGGCAGGCCTGGGGAAAGGTCTACACAGCATGAAGTGTGGACATGGCCGAGGGAAGTGTTAGATCACACTGCCCCAGGTGAGAGGGACAGAGGGCCACCACCAAGAGCCTGGGAAGCCCCTGTGGGCTCTGCTGGGGCCCGAGCGCCATCCTCACCTGCTGTCCTATAAGAAGCCTGGGTCCTGTGCCAGCTGCATTTGCAAGGACCACCCTCCCTGTGCCGTGTCCCTTACCTAGTGGAAACTGCACACCAGACAACGTACAACTGCTGGCCTTGCTGGGGGAGGAGGGGTGGCTGGCCTACAGCCAGTTTTTGCTTGGGAAGCAGTTGGGGTCCCCTGGGAGGGTGACCATGTGGCTGTGTGCATGGCAGGAAGGAGGGGGTGTGGGCAGGCTGTTGGTGAAACGAGGCCACTTGAAGGGTAAGCAGCCGGAGCTCAGGTAGGCCATGAGCCTCCAGAAGCCGACCCTCCCTCTCACCCCCAGCCCTGTACACCCCACAGCAGAGCACAACTCTGATAAGATGGGCGGAGCCTAGCATGGGTCACCATTAGGATTTGGTGGGAAGTGAATGGTCGGGTTGACAGAGAAAATGCGCAGGCTCAGGCAGCACGGAGTCACCCCTCCCAAGGCTGCACTCATGTGAGCTTCCCCGGAAGGAGGTCGAAGCTCTGGGGCACCACGAGGCAGCTGCTGAGCATCTTCCTCTTCATTAGCCAGTGGACAGGGAGGTGGCTGGGCTGGCAGTTCCCTTACCACCTGGACAGGAGACAGAGGAGGGGGAGGGAGGCTCATCCTGGGGCCGGGCCCAGGGTCAGGTGTTGGCCCACCCTGAACATTCCACCCCCTGGAAAGTGCAGCAGCCTCTAAGTGGACACCAGCTAAAAATGACCTCTCTTCAGGTCAGCAGAATGAGGTTCCTCTTCTGCTGAGACATAGGAATGTGCCCCTTGGAGGAGAAGGCTAGCTGCTGGGTTGGAGTCAGCCTCTAAGGGAGGTCTGTTTCCTTGATTTCCAGAGGAGCCTGCTGGTTTGCCGAGCACTGAGTCTGACCCTCCAGCCTCATTAATTTGATTTTCTTTCAGCCGATAGCAGCGATGGATCCAGTTCGGAAGATGGCAGGGAATACCAAAGTGTGAAAACCAAGAGGAATCGGTAGGTGGCAGTGTCCTTTCCTACGGGGCTTCCGTAATGGGGACTCGGGTGGTGTGCAGAGAGATCTCTTTGGCTGCAAATGAAGGATGGCAAGAGAGTTTGGGGTCTGTCCTGGAGCCTGCTCTGGGCACCTCACAGAGGCTCTGGCTTCTGAGACACTGTGGACAGTCTTGGTCCATCCCTGTCCTCCCAGGGCCACTTCCAACCCTGCCTGTGCTTCTGGAGTGGAGGGAGTGGTCAGGGTGGGCCAGGCGCTGAGGAGCAGGTGAGGCTCCGGTGGGCCCCGGGCCTTGCCGACTGAGTGACTCTGGGCAGTTGATCCAGCCTGGTCCCAGGGGCCTCATCTGTCAGATGGGACTGCAGGGTTGAGAAATGCCCGTGGCACTCAGTGACAGGATCCATCCCAGCTGGCCCACTGCCCATGGCTGTGGGACCGGCCTTTCCTCCCAGCAGGGCGTGGCTCTTCCTTGGTCCCTCCTACAGGGCAGCTGGTCAGCCTTTCTTCATACACTGAGCTCCACATAAAAGGCGAAGTTGGGGAGCACGTGTCTAAGCTCCCCCGTGTGGCCTACAGAGGGAGGCGGCTGTGGCCTGCACTCCGTCCTGGCGGAGGAGGAGAGTGACTCCAGAAGGTGCCTCGGTGTGCCCTCATAGGCTGCTTCCTGGGCTTGGTCATCGGTGGCCAGTGGAGCCTGGGTCTCCTGCCGCGGGCGCGTCCACACGAGCACTGCTCCTCTACCCAGCCCCCTTCATGAGAACCACCGCCCAGCCCTGCAGCGGGGACCCTAAGGCAGTGGCCGAGTGTGGCACTGTGGTGCTTCCTTCTCTTAGAAATGTGCTTCCGAAGCTGTTCTTTGCTGTGACCGACACTTGTCCTAGCCAAGCAAGCAGGAGATGCTCTCAGACTGTGCCTTTCCCACCTCCTCGGCCCTTCCTCCTGGGATGTTCTAGTGCAGGATGAAGGACACTGATGTGATCAAGTGCCACTGTTCTGACAAGCGGGGGTTCAAGGTGCACTCAAGGGTACCCCAGGTTAGACAGGAACAAGACCTGCCTTCTATGATAAGCAGACACCACAGAAATTTCTAGAACAAAGAAGGGTAGGATAAGCTCAGTCCTGCCCAACTCAAGGAGGGGTCTGGCAGGAGGTAGGAACCTCCTCTTCTCCCTGGACTCCTGCTGCCTCACCTACAGCACCCTGGAGCCAGTGGCTGCGGTTGGGAGGATACCAGGGCAGCCATCAGCAGAGACCAGTTCCACGTGGCCCCAGGGTGGGCCTTCTGCCCACATTAGGGACTATTTTCCTGCTGCCCCAAATCTTCTCCTTAGGAGACTGCTTCTAGGGGTCAAAGTTGGGTGGCCACCGGTAGTAGACACATGGGGTCTCTGATGATGGCAAAGGTCCAGGAAGGGGGGGGTTGCCTCTTGGCCCCAAGGCCACACCGTGGACATTAGCAAGCCACCCCTGCTGTCTGTGCACACGCATGCTGAGTTTGAAAGGTGTTGGTTGTGTTTCGTGTTGGGCAATCTGACCTGTCCATCAAGGAACATGCCTGTGGAGTCTACTGAAATCAGTCTGTTTGGCCCTTTTTGTATAAATAATAGAATTTTCCTCATCAAAAAGCACTTAAAATCCTCCTTCAAGGTGGGACTATTCAGCAGCTATTTTATGATATTTGAGGGAAAAAAGGAGTAAAACTGAGGAGAGAGCTCTGGAAGTAACGTCTGCCCCTGGTTTCTGAGGAACCCTGGCACAACCTAGGCATGTTCAGGGCATTCATATGCAAATGAGCAAAGTGGATTGGGCCAGTAATTGAGGCCCAAATGGTACTTTCCCTAAACTTCCCTTGGAGAGAAAAGTGTCACAATGACAAGCTGTCGACTCCCTGGCCAGGGCCATTAGGGAAAGCGGCTGCTCACTGCTTGGCAGATGTGCTCATGGCAGGGCCACCCCCCTCCCTGCCACCAGAAAGTGGCTGATTGTTGCTGGTCCCCTTTCTGTGGGTGCTGGGAGGTCCTGGAGGATCTGATGTGCGCATCTTCATAGCTTGTATCTGCTTCTCGAGTTTATTTTAAGGAGTTGGGATTTTTTTCAAATAGTTGGATTGTCTTAGGGATTCAGCTAAATATGTCATGTGTTTAAAAAACCAGAATGAAAGCATCCACAAACACCCTGGAGAGGTTCCCAGGATGTGCGTGTCTTCTAGCCACTCCTGGAGGCAGGGTGGCCCCAGGAGCTGGGATTCCTGCTCTGCTGACGGCTTTTGTAGCACTGGAGAGTTGAATTGCTCTGTTGTGTCCTCAGTTATCATTGGCCCAATGACTTTGAAGTGTTCTTACATTTTCATGGCATTTGGTGTGGATTTCTTGCACTACAGGAAGCCCAAGGAAATCTCTTGGCTTGGCCTATTGTTTGCTATGGTGCTTTGAGGGGTTTGGGAAGGTCAATCAATGGCTTTGGACGTGCATGGCCAGTGGACTTACCACAGCACGGGTGTCACACTGGTGCTTTCCTGAGGTTGTACTCAGCTCTGGCTGAAGATCTGAGGGCCTGGGATGGCATCCTGTGTGCCTTGTGCCCATGTTCCTAAACTCTCCACATCCCTCTCCATGACCCTACTCTCAGGAAACCAAGTGGCCACAGGACACCTGAAGCTCCTCCTCTGGAAGGATCTGGGACCTAGGGGACTTTCAGGCCACCCTCAAGAGGCAATTCCCACAAAGACTCCCCACCCTCATGCCCAGGCATGACCTTGAGATGCCCTCTAAGGAGCTGTGTGACTATGATCGAGCTCCCCGTGTTCTGCCCTTCACCTGCATGTGACCTGGGGCAGGGTGGGTCCTTTCAGAGCAAAAGAATCACATCACATCTAAAGGGAAAATATGAGAATTTGATGGTAGCTTTCAATCCTTGTTATGCAAGGCCAAGTCTGGAGACTTTGCCACCACCCAGGACGGTCTTGGAGCCAAGCCCACACCTGCCCAGTTCACTGTGGGAGGAGACACTCCTGTACAGCCAGAGCCCCTGCTGTAGAGGCAGAGGTGAACAGAGGTCAGCCAGTGTGTCCAGCAGGCAGGAGGCCAGCACACCAGGCCTCTGTTCTCATAGTGAGAAGGAGCCCCTCCCCTCCCTGTGTCCTTGATATCTGGAATCCCAGGAAAATTAACTATTGAGAAAGTGGGAACATTTGAAAATGCGGCATGATAATCCTATGAAGTAAGTGGACTCTAAATGAAGATCGTTATAAACTTATGTCTTTAACTTGTGGCTGGATAACGGCAGAGTTACTTGTATCCCAATCTTTGCACGGGGGTCTGGTTGAATTCTCTGGGGACCCCCGCACTAAGATTGGGATACAAGTTAGGAGGGTGCACCGGGTCTTCCTGGTCCTTAACGTGCATGGAGAAAATCATGAAGGCCCACTTACCTCTTAGGTCATCCTTGGTAGTTAAATCAGTTCTGTAAAGAAACTTGTGGTTGTCTACGCGGTATTGAGCCTGGCCATATGTCATCAGGGCATGTTGTATGGGGCCTTCCTTTGATCTGTCTGTGAGAAGACTGAGTGGAAGCAGCCATCTGTCTGGGGGTTCGATGTGTCTTTATAGGCTGAAATGTGGAAGATATTCCCGGGTGCTTGTTTTCTTTGCAAAAAGGACCCTGAACCTTAGCATTTCTGAGAGGGGAGACCCGAAGTCAGCAAGCGGGTCTTAAGCTGGGGACGAGGACTCGGCACACATCTAGCAGACACTGCAGAAAAGGGCCCAACGTGACGACAAGGGAATGGGTGGCCAATGAAGGAGCAGTGGTCACTTTGCCTATGGTTAGGTGTTTATTAAGGGAGAGGTCACTGGGAACCTGGAGCCATATGCTTCCCTCTCCCGCCCACCTCTCAGCCTCAACCACTGGAAAGGCAGGTGCTGTCCACCTGTCCCCCAAACTATCTTAAACAAAACGCAGATATCATGTGAGTACCATTTGTAATATTTCAGGATAATGACTGAAATATAAGGATTAAAAAACGTAAGCATGGTAAAAACCAATGATTCTCAACATTCTCAGATGTGCCCCTTGCTCCCATTTCCTGGATGGCTTCGTTTCTCTGGATTTTGTATCTCAAGCCGGTTTCCACACCAGGTCTGTGTCTGTCCTCTGCAGATTTTCCTCCCGAGACGAGCCCCTCCCCTCCAACCACGCGTTTCTTCATTTGTTCTGTAACAAGTGGTTTCTTCTCTGGTGGAGTTTTCCCAGTTTGGAGCTTATCCTTGTCCCCGTCTCTGGTTTGCTCACCGTGTTCTTGGGTCCCTGTTTGTTTTTCGTCCCTGGTAAACAAGGCTTGGCTCTTGTTTTGGCGAGAACACTTGGCAGTGGTGCGGTGTTCCCTCCATCCGGCCTGTCGCATCTTGGCCATCTGTCTTTTTGTGTTGTGAGCAGGTGACTTGTCTGATCCATTATTTCCTTAGGGGCTGCTAACTGGAACCTCTCAGTTCTCCATTTCATTGACGCAGAGGAGCAAGAACACTTCCACAGAGAGAGACTTCTCCCCGCAGACCATCTGCTTCCCCTGGCTGTGGCTTGAGCAGAAACACGGGGCACATGTTCAACTCTCCCTGTGCCATCGACTTAAGAGCAGGGTACTGGCTCCCGAGCCTCCTGGGGCGCGACCGTCCACGGACTCCACAGGGTGCTGCGTGGCCACAGTAGTCCCCAGCTCTCCCTCACCACCCCCGCGGTCAGCTGCCATCTGCCGTTTTAAAAGACAGTAACGGACCACGTGCCACTCACGTGGTGGTCGGCCAAGGCACAGGAGCGACGTGTTCCTTGCCATAACATAGCGGGCGTCTCCTGATAGGAGGACAGTTGTGAGGGTGTTGTCCACTGCTCTGCTCTGGGTGGCCGCTCCTCTCCCGCGGGATTCCAGGCCACCTGGCTCTTCCCTCCCATGGTGCCCCTCTCTGTGCCCCTGGTCACATGTCCCTTCCTGCGTCCTTGTTGCCCCGCT